TTTTTTTTCTTTTCTCTCTGCCAATATTTTGCTAGACCCAAGTACTTATTTTAAATTATTTTCATATCTACAAACGTATAGAGTCATGTCTATTTTCTTATGATTCCTCTTAGCTAATGAAGCAATCTTCCATTTTTCTCAGGTGGTTCATCTCTTGCTAGAAAAGGGGCAGTCACCAGCACCCAAAGAACATGTTCCTTTAAGCCCACAGTACACTCTTTCAGACCAAGACACCCAAGGTCAAGACCCAGAAATAACAGTGAAGAAAACCAGTCATGTCAAGGACTACAGCTTTGTCACCGAAGGTCAGGCATTGGGGTCAGGTCATGTCACTGAAATTGTTCCTAGTTTATTCAAAATGCAGTTTTTACATGTTGAGGTAGAATCCATGCCTTATCTATTCTTGGCTAGTATAAAACTCTGATGCATCAGCAACCTGACCAAAACCATATTTGAAGTTCATTGAGAGTCAAAGCTTGGGGATAATGAAGCCATATCCTAATGTGGTCATTTAACAATACTTAGATAGCTGTTAAATTTTAAATGAAATTTGATAAGGAAAAATTTAGTTTACATAATTGCTGAGAATGGCTTCACACACATTTGAAACTTTGGCCCTTAAATTTTGTTTGGTTTTGGTTCTGTTTTTGTTGTGTTTTCTTTTCTTTTCTTTTTGAAACAGGGTCTCACTTCATAAGGCCTGACTGGCCTTGGTATTTACTGTGTAACTCAGGCTGGCCTCAAACTTATGGTAGTCCTCTTGCCTCAGCCATTCAAGTGCTGGGATTATAGACATGGAGCCATCACACCTAACCATAAATTTTCTATATTTTTATTTAATTTTATGAATCGTGATGGTAAACTTAGACAGGAATCCATCCAGGTTTTCCCAAATACTGCTCTTCCTTACAAAATATGCCAGCTAGTGGATATGATAATAAGAAAATGAAGACTGGAATAATAATGAGTTCTTCTGAGGTTGGTGTGTTCGTAATACTGGACCCTGTCTCAAAAAAAAAAAAAAAAAAAAAAAAAAAAGGTGGAAGCAATACTGGACTTCACATATGCACTCCAGCACACAAGCACACACATGCATACACCACATGCACATCAAAAGATCAAAATTTTAATCCTAGCACTTGGGAAGCAGAGGCAGATGGATCTCTGTGAGTTCAAGGCCAGCCTGGTCTACATAGCGAGTTCCAGGCCAGCTTGGGCTACAAGGAGACCCTGTTTCAAAAAGAAAAAAAAAAGATAAAAATAAAAAAAGTTTTCTTAATGATAGGAGAGCATATATGATAGGTGCAGTAAGCATATGAGGAGCTGTTAATAGCACAGGGAAAATGGCCTTTTTGAAAAATGTATCTAAGTGTGTGTGCGTGTGTGTGTGTGTGTGTATGTGTTCATATATATACAATTAAGAATATTTAACTTTTTTGTATTTTTTTTTCTCTAGAAAATACATTTGAAGTAAAACTGTTTAAAAATAGCTCAGGCCTAGGATTCAGTTTTTCTCGAGAACATAATCTTATACCAGAACTAATGAATGCCAGCATAGTAAGGGTTAAAAAGCTCTTCCCTGGACAGCCAGCCGCAGAGAGTGGAAAAATTGATGTTGGAGATGTTATCTTGAAAGTGAATGGAGCCTCACTGAAAGGTCTATCTCAACAGGTGAGTCTGGAGCCTGGGAAGGTGGGCCATGTGGGTATGCTGGCTCTTTGCCTGAACTCCATCTTCATTTGTCGTTCTTGTATCTCTAGGAAGTCATATCTGCTCTGAGGGGGACAGCTCCAGAAGTCTCCTTGCTTCTCTGTAGACCCCCACCTGGGGTGCTTCCGGAAATCGATACTGCTCTTTTGGTAAGGCCTTTGGAAAGTAACTTCTATAATGTAGAATATCAGTTTTGTGGCTTGTTAATTCAGCTGCAGTTATTTCATCATGGATTGATCTGGTATGTTTCATACCTAGCTATTGGCCTAGGAGCTGTTACCTTGTATGTGTCACTCAAACTCTTTCAGTGCATTTCGTATTTGTAATGCAAAGTAATCGATTCATTTTCTCTCCTCTCTTAATTCTAAACTTCTAGAAAGCTAGAGTTTCAGGACTTTGCTTTCTAAGTGTAATGGAGATGACAGAATGATGGAGTACAGAAGGTTTGTGTCCATTTCTTACTGAACTGAAAAAGAACAGTCATTTTCACTTGAACTTGGTTTGGATAAAATGAGAGTTAAAACTAGGCATGGTGGCGCAACGCCTTTAACCCCAACACTGGGGAGGCAGAGGCCAACAGATATCTGTGAGTTCCAGGCTAGCCTGGTCTGTATAGCAAGTTCCAGGTCAGTCGGGGCTATATAATAGAGACCCTGTCTCAAAAAAACCAAAGGGCATGGCGGGGCAAGCTCCAGTTTCCAGTTTACCATTTGAGATTTGTGCTGTGCCCTGTGCCCAGCATCATCAGAGAAGTTTCTTATAGCATGAGCAGCAGTTAAAGCAGAAACTCAGAACTGTCCAAAGTGCCAAGAATTAAATGATGTAATGAGGCAGCTGTATCACTCCCTCCTAGGCTCAGGAAACATCATGGAAGAGATGATGGAAAGAATGTAAGAGCAAAGGTTGGGGAAATGTACAGTAAACAAGATGTGTTCTGGACATACAACCATTGCACTCATGAACTCATTGCAGCTGTGGTTATCTGCACAAGGCCCACAAAACTGGTCCTGTTAACATGTCATCATGGATAAGGCAGGGGCTCAGAAGGCCCTGCCTCTCCCTGAGGAACTACTGGCAGTGAACAGTTGTTGGAAGAGAGTTGTCATTCTTCAGTGGTGCAGCCACTGATAGGATGCCCTTGCCCACTAAATAACCACCCACTCATGCTTGGGCAAGAAACTAAACTCAGTGAACCACACACAGAAGGGTGTAGAAGTAGGAGGGGACTTGTTGAGGAGAAGGTTCTAGCAGGAGGAGGGAGATGAGAGAGGGCAATGGGGGCTGAAGATGACTAAAGTCATTATAAAATGTATGTAACTGTCAAAACAGTTTCTTTAATAAGAGTTAAAATTTTCAGCTCTTTTGTTAAAAACACTAGGCCAGGAATCTCAGCACTCAGGAGGCAGAGGCAGGTAGATCTCTGAGTTCAAGGCCAGCCTGGTCTGCATAGCAAGTTCCAAGACTGTTGGGGCTACAGGGAGACCCTGTCGCAAAAAGACAGGGAAAAAAAAGGAAAAAGAAAACACTAGAAGCTAGAGAAAGGGCTATGTTTATTTCCTTTTCTTATGTCACAGAATAAAGAGTTAATTTATTATGATAGTGATTTACAAGAAAATCTGCCTTTCACCTATCAGTTTTAAAAGAGCTCCATCACCAGTGTTGTCTGCTGGGTCTGGACATCAGGCGGAGTACCTAAGCCAGAAGCTTTAACCCTAATATTGAGGAAAGGGGAAGTATGTGCAGGACACTAATGCCAAAGTGACAGTATAAATAGTATATAAATAGCATTTAAGAAACTATATTAGCCAGGTATGGTGACACACACCTTTAACCTCCGCACTTAGGTGGCAGAGGCAAGAGAATGTCTGTGAGTTCAAGGCCATCCTACTTTACATAGTGGGTTCTATGCAGCCAGGGCTAACTAGTAAAACCCTGGTGGGAGGTGGCGGGGGGGGGGGGCAACCATGAGGCAGCTTGCATACACCTGTAACTCCAGCTCCAGGGAACCCACTGCCCTTTTCTAGCCTCTGTGGGCACATGCACACACATAATCATACATTCAGGTAGACATACATACATACATACATACATACATATGTATAAATAAAAATAAAATAAACATAAAAACTATGTTGAAGGGCCAAGGATGTAGCCCAGTGTTAAGTATTTTTGCTTAGTATGCACAAACCTTAAGTTCAATCCCCAACACCACACAAAACGAAGACTACATTGATTTGAAGCATCAGGATGAACTGAATAGAACCTCTTAATGAGTACATCAGTTGATAAAGTCTTTCTGGAAAGCAGTTTGGAAATATTTTTAAAGACCTTTAAAAACATGCTGTGCATCAGGCTGGGCATGGTGGCACACACCTTTAATCCCAACCCTACAGAGGCAGAGACAGGTGGATCTCTGTGAGTTCTGTGAGATCAAGACTAGCCTGGTCTATATAGCGAGTTCTAGGCCAGCTAGGGCTACATGGTAAGGCCCTGTCTTGAAAAAAAAATTCTGTGCTTGACAATATGACCATCTAGAAAATTACAAGGAAGTAGTTCATCTGCATTTCTGTAAGTAGTAAACAACTATGTATTCAATAAAAGGAGAAGGCTTAAAGTAAAGGCAAGCCCTCTGTAGGGGGTTATGATACAATCATTAGAGCTGTTTTCAAAGCACATTTAAGAACTTCAGAAAACATGCACAATAGGGGCTAGAGATATGGCTCAACTGTTAAGAGCTGCTCTTACAGAGGACCCACATGGCAGTTTACAACCATCAATAACTCCAATTCCAGAGGATCTGACACCCTCTTCCAACCTCCACGGGCATTGCACACATGTGGTATACTTACATACAGCAGGCAAAATACTCATACATATAAAATAAAACTAAAATCTTGTTTTTAAATCATATATGATAGAAGCCTAAATTTTGGAAGTAGGATACAGCATATACTGCTGTAACACAATTCTAATTCTGATTTAAAATATAAGTTAGGGCTGGCAAGATGACTCAATGGGTAAAGGTGCTTGCTGCAAAAGCCTGACTACCTAAGTTTGATCCCTGGAAGCCACATAAAGATGAAAGGAGAAAACTGATTCCACAAGCTGTCCTCTGACCTCCACACACTTCCCATGGTACAGGCATTCGCAAACACACACACACACACACACACACACACACACACACAAAACATACACAAAATAATAAATAAAGCTTGAAAAAGAAAATACAAGTCAGAATGGCAAGATGACCCAGTGGGTAAAGACACTTGCCATCAAGCCTAAGTTCTATCCCTGAGATCCACAAGGTAGCAGGAGAGAACCACTCACAGGTTGTCCTCTGACTTTCTCAAGTGCACTGTGGCATGCATACCCCCACACACATACACACCCAAAATAAGTTAATAAATGTAATAAAAATAAAAGTCATGCAGAATTAGGAGTTGTTTCATATAATCACTTTTTCTTTAATGAGCATAATGTTTATTATCAGATAATTTAATATACATAATATATAAAGTACTGTGACTCAGTAGATTCATATTCAATTGACTGCTTCTAAAGCTAATAAGTTGTCACCCTCTGACCACTTTGAATGTGTCTTTCAGACCCCACTCCACTCTCCAGCACAAGTACTTCTAAACAGCAGTAAAGAACCTTCTCAACCATCATGTGTGGAACAAGGCACCAGCTCAGATGAAAATGAAATGTCTGACAGAAGCAAGAAACAATGCAAGTCCCCATCCAGGAAGGATAGTTACAGTGACAGCAGTGTGAGTGGAGAGGACGACATTGTGAGAGCTCCAGCACAGATGCCCTGTATGACCTTGACTTCAGCTTTGAATCAGACTCTAAACAACACGGTGTCACAGGCACACAATCAACTTGAAGCACCCAAAACTCAAGAACCCGCTTGTACCATGTTTTACTATCCTCTGAAAATATCCAACAAACCAGAATTTGAGAGCAGGTATTGTCCATGCTACACAGAATGCTCAGAGCAGCCAGTATTGTTAGCAGTAGCATCTTGGCCTTAAGAATTGAGTGTCTGTGCCAATGTGGATGGGAGACAGTCCACACGGCCTCACCTCTAGTCGAAGAGCTCCAGGCAATCAGTGCCTGTTGAGGGAGAGAGGACAAGCTTCTTGCTAGAGTATCCATTCCTAAGTGGTCAGCTCCAAACACATGTACATATAAGCAGCACTAAATTGATTCAACATCATTATACAAAATAATAACAAATGCAGAAGAGATCAGGAATCCCAGAGTAGGGGATAAGAATTGGAGGGACACAGGGAAGGGTGGAAATAATATAAATACAGTGTACTCAGCTATGAAAGTCTCAAAAAAATTAAAATTAAAAAATGGAATGTCTAGTGGGCTGGAGAGCTGGCTCAGCAGTTAAGAACATCTGCTGCTCTTCCAGAGGACCTGGATTCAGTTCCCAGTACCCATACCTGGTGACTCACAACCACTCATAACTCTAGCTCCAGGGGATCCAGTGCCCTCTTCTGACCTCTAAAGCACCCATATGCATGTACACATACATACACAATAAAAATTGGAGTGTCTGTGGATTCAGAACAGTTAGTAAATGATTGCTTATTAGAGTTCTACCTATTGTGATTAGCAGTTTAGTAAACCAATAAGCTTTCAAATCAGTCAGTATAGCCCTTGCTTCTCTCTTGAGCATATTTATTAGTAATTAAGTATTAATAATTAAGAAAGTTGTAAGCTGGGCGTGGTGGTGCATGCCTTTAATCCCAGCACTCAGGAGGCAGAAGCAGGCAGATTTCTCAGAGTTCAAGGCCAGCCTGGTCTACATAGTGAGTTCCAGGCCAGCTGGGGGCTACAGGGAGACCCTGTAAAAAAAAAAAAAAAAAAAAAAAAAAAAAAAAAAAAACAACAACAAAAAAAGTTGTGAAACCCTGCTCAAATAAAAAAATGTATTTAAAAAGAACTGGGATACAGCTCAGTGGTAGAGTGCCTACCTAGCCTGAATAGTCTGCAGTATGGAAAAATAAATATATAAGTAAATAAATAAACAGAAGAGTAAGACGTTTTTATTGGAAACAGTCTCCCAATAGCCCCAACTAGCCTGGAACTCACTATGGAGACCACGCTGGCCTCGACCTCGCAGAGATCTGCCTGCCTCTACCTCCTGAGTGCTGAGATTAAGGGTATGTGCTACCACTCCCAGCTAAGAGTAAAACATTCATTCCTATTTCTTTTTTATTTTTTTTCTTAGTAGGTTAAAATACAAACTAAGCCTCTAGTAACACTAGCTTCAGTCTTGAGTAACAACTAGGAACAGAAAGTATGCTTAAGTCTTCAACTTGTTTTACCGTCCTTATGTCAGTTAAAGAACTTAATTGAAAATTGAACTTTCCAGTGGTACACACATGTAATCCTAATACTCACGAGGCTGAGGCAGGAAGATCATGAATAATAAGTCCATCTAGATCTTTGGCATAACATGCATATGCTACATATGTGCTGTGTGTAATGTTTTCCTCGTGATTGTTCATAGAATCCTGGAATGGTATGTTTATTCCTCTGAAGTAAGATACGTCAAATTTGACATCTTTAAATATAAAGTCAAGATCTTTTGGAAAAAAAAAGTGAAAAAAAAATATATAACTGTTGTGTTGGGTTAAGCTATACGCTATGGGTGTTGTTAGGTTAGATGCTGTAAATGCATTTTCAACTTAAGGTGTTTTCAATGTATGACAGTTTATGGGGAATAACCCTACTGTGAGTTGAGCATCTCTCTCTTGCTATAAAATGTTAACTGTACTATTTGGTGCCTCTGAAGCGACAACTGTTTCACAGTGTGTATGGCATTGCCTTCACACACTTCTGTAATAATCATCAGTTTACATAGCATTTAACTATTGTATGTATTTTAGGAATTTACTGTTTTACTTGATGTGAAATGTTTTATTCTCCCAACAAGGCAAATAACTACACATGATAAAAAAAAAAAGAAAAAGAAAACTGAGCTTTCACAGAGAATAATTGGTAATATTAATGTATAATAGACACTAATAAATTTACAGTCTAAAAGCAGACAAAAGCTAGCTAGAATCTCAGTCAAAAATCAGAAATATCCCCTAGCATTTTCTGTTGTATCACAAACTTTCTATATTGACAGTGTATTTGAAACAGTATTGATTCTCTGTCCCTTCAGCCATCCTTCTCCTCTGCCTCTGGTTGTGAGTCCTGGACAGAGCTGTCAACACCAATCAGAATGTACTTCTGATTCCATTGGTAAATGTCATACACATCTCACTTCTGAACTGAATGCACAAGAAAACAGGACAAATTTGGAAAATGACTTGGAAAATCACCTTGAAGACTGTGAGCTGGTGAGCTACTTCCTCCGTATTTAAAACTGTTTTTCGCTATGAAGACGTAAGTACGTGCTGTTTTCCATTAGTTGAGGAAAGGCTGTATTTTAGAACTGCCTCATAACTGCATGTAGTAAACAGATCACATCCATACCTGATGTTTCTGTGGTGAGAAATTAGGGGGGGAAATTAAAGGACCTAGCTAATGGCCTCACTTTCTCACTGCCTTGCTGTCATTTGGCAGACACCTGTGGACAAGATCGCTCACTTTTTCTGATTCCCAGTAGCTTTGGCTATGCAATGGGCTGGTAACTTCAGAAGACTGTGATAAACATTAAATGGAGCACAGTATATACAGCACTTAGCAGACTAGATGCAAATTACTGTTTCTGTTTCTTTTTTTAAATACCTTTTTATTATTTATTTTTATTTTATGTGTGTGAGTGTATTGCCTGCATGTGTAAGTGCATCTGTGTCATGCAGTGCCCATAGAGGTCAGAAGAGGGTATCAGATCCCCTGGAACTGGAGTTACCCATGGTTGTTAGCCACCATGTGGGTGCTGGGAATGGAACCCAGGTCCTCTGCAAGAGGGGTCAATGCATTTAACTCCTGGGCCATCACTCCAGCTCTGTGTTTTTGTTTTTTGAGTTCACTGAATTATCTGGTGTGTGTGTGTGTGTGTGTGTGTGTGTGTGTGTTTGTGTATATGGTGTGTAGATGTTTGTGTGGGTGCATGAGTGTGCACACGCAGGTCCAGGCCAGAGGTAAACTTCTGACGTTCAGGAGCCATCCACCTTGATTTTTGAGATGAAGTCTCTCATTTGCCTAGAGCTCACGGAGTTAGCTAAACTGGCTTGCCAGTTGTCTGTGCCTCTCAGCACCGAAATTACAAGTGCTTGCCACCACAGCCAGCTTTTTATGTGAATACTAGAGATCCTACTTAGGTCTTCATGCTTATGTAGCAAGCAGTTTTTTGATTAAGCTCTCCCAGTTCCTACTTACTGAATTTTTAACATTTAAGTTTTTTTTCTCTTCGTATTTTTTTAAAATATTTATTTTCTTTTTAAGTGTGTATGTGCATGTAAGTGCAGATACCTGCAAAGGGCCAGAGGTGCTAGATTCCCCTGGAGCTGCAGTTATAGGAGCCTGTGAGGCACTTGATGTGGATGCTGAGAATTGAACTTGTGTCCTCTGGAAAAGCATTAGTTCCTTTTAACCACCGAGCCATCTCTTTAGCCCCTCTCATCTTTTGTGTGTGTGTGTGTGTGTGTGTGTGTGTGTGTGTGTGTGTGTACACTTAACTGGAATCTACCTTGTAATAGCCTTAAATTTTTCATACATATATATATATGAAATATATATATTCTTTGAGAATTTCATACATATTTACAGTATATTTTACCACATTCACCCCCTTCTCCTACCTCTAATTCCTCCCAGATCCACCCCTCATCCTTCACCTCCCACCCCCAACTTCACATCTTCTTTATTTTTTCTATAATAAAAAAATTATAGAGTCCAATAAAGTATTTCTATAATAAGAAATTACTGAGTCCAATTTGAGCTGCCCATATACTGATGGGTGTGGAGCCATATACTAGAGCAGGGTCAACCTACAAGGGGCCACACCCTTAAAGAAAACTGACTTATAGAAGCCATCAACTGTCAGTGGCTCCTCAGATAGGGGTAGGGGCTCCTGAGCCCCTCCTTCTTCCATGCTGAAGTATTGACTGGCTTGATCTTGTTCAGGTTTTGTGCAGACAACCACAGCTGTTGTGAGTTCATGAGTGCAGCTGTGCTGTCCTCTCCATAAGAGTGCTACACTCTAGTCCTCCCCAACCTGACCCTTACAATCTTCTCACTCCTTCTTCTGTGATAGTCCTGAACCTTGGGGAGGAGGCATGGTATAGATGTCCCATTTATGGTTGAGCACTCCACGGACACTGATTCTCTACACTTTGACCAGTTGTGAGTTCTGTGCTAACCACCAACCACTGGCAAAGACACCTTCTCTAATGAGGTCTGAGAGGGCTGCACTAATCTATAGTTAGAAAATTTTAGAGGGCAATTTGATACTATGTCCACTTAGAAGAATAATAGTAGGCTCATCCCTAGGACCTGTGAACTTCCCAACCATGTGTTCTTGACCAAATTTACAGTACCAGGCATTCATTTTCTCCTGTAGAAATGAATGACCTCATGGCCATAAGTCCAGTCAGAAGGCAGTTGTTTACCCCCATAACATTCACTCCACTATTCTTCCTAGGGGCATATCTTATAACTCCAGTCATTCCTGTAGCTTATAGGGATCAAAGTTGGGTAATACTAGTGACAACCTTTTCTCCCAGCAGCCTGCAAAACACTTTCCAATACTATGAAAACTAGTGAGCAGGGAGGAAGTTTCCTGTACCAACTCGATTTCTCCAGGTCCTGTAACCAAAGTGTGTGTTGTCTTCTACAGTAGCTTCTCACCATCACATTCTTGTGGACAACCAAGAGCAGTGGCAATAGCCTGTATTATTCTGGAGGTCTCTGGGACACCTCTGACCAACAGCTCAAGGGGAGGTATCCCACACCTGGTACTGGCTTTCTCTTTGGCAACATATGGCTTCTGGAAGGAGCATTTCCCCTGTGTGGGATAATTCCAATTAAATTCGTCTTTGTGGAAAAAAAAAAAGTATGCATTTAGAAATCTTATAAAATTATAGGTTTCCATAGAACTTTTTCAAGCATCCTTGGTATTAGCTATCCTCCCCAACCCCTCCTCCATCCTACCTTCCCATCCCTCTTGTCAGTTAAACTTCCTTCCTCATTATTTAAAAAAAAAAAATACTTAAACTTCTGAGCCTGCAAATCAAGCTTGGAAGTCAGACTTCCAAGTATGTTAGCCTTTTACATGAATTGAGAGTCAGCCTTTTTCAATACTTTATTATTCAAGTAACAGTTGTTTGTATCAAAAAGTATAAAACAAGGAAAAAGAAGAATAAAATCGCCTATAACCTCACCAGCCCTAAACTGTAAACATTTTGGACAGAATAGTCTTTCCAGGTATTTCATTTGTCTGTAGTTATGTGGTAGGGGTGTGTGTGTGTGTGTGTGTGTGTGTGTGTGTGTGTGTTGTGCTGTGACAGAGTGGCTAGGTGGGTGGAGTATGCATAGCATCTGCATCTTCATTTTCATTCTCATCAATAAAGTAAAAATAGTTTTTGAAATAACTTTTGGAAATCTGTCACCTGAGTATCTTCTCCCTCTTAGTTGAAATCTTTTGAATTTGTTCACACATCTTAATAAATGAAGCAAAGACCTGTCTTCATCACTTGGTCAAATTAATTAAACTTAAGATTGGATTTTCTCCTTTGTTGATGAAGAGCAGTACTATTCCTCTTTTTGTCTAGGATAAAATAGACAACCTTAAAGGAATCACTGTTTTCTTTCTCTAGGAAGTCGAGCTTCTCATTACGCTAATTAAATCAGAAAAAGGAAGTCTAGGTTTTACAGTAACCAAAGGCAATCAGAGTACTGGTTGCTATGTCCATGATGTCATACAGGATCCAGCCAAAAGTGATGGAAGGCTAAAGCCTGGGGACAGGCTCATAAAGGTGAGACATTTAAGAGGAATAGGACATTTGTGCAAATATGATGTCTTCATCCACTTTTTGAAATGCCTGATGTAAACCAACTTTATAATGAAAAGAAGTTTAGTCAGCTCACAGTTTTGAAACTTTAAGGACAGGGCACCAGCACCAGCTCAGCCCATAGATGATATACAGTTACGGAGGAACATGTGTGAAAGGAAGATATCACATCTCAAAGCAAGATGCCAGACTCTGGGGTCCCACAGCTCATTCTGTAGGCACATCCCCAGTCACCTACTAACTAGACTTCACCACTTAAAGGTCCCACCATCACATTAAGGACCTAACCTCCCTCACATGAACCTTTAGGGAACAAACTTGAACCACATCCAGACCAAAAGCAAGTGACCAAAAGCAAGTCAGAACTAGAGAGAAAGAAGGTTGAGTTACTATGACATTGTGTTTCTCTGGTTTATATTGTCATTCCCCACTACTTATAAGTAAAAGCCTTAGCCAGGCATAGTAGCATATAGTTATAATTCTAGCATATATATAACCAGTAATTCTAGGAAGAGGCAGGAAGATCAGTTCAAAGTCATCCTTCCCTACATAGTGAGTTCAAAGCCAGCCTCAGCCTCATGAGACCCTGTCTCAAAATAGGCCTTAACATATATGACAAAATTCACGAAATCTAGTGTGGGGCATATGGGGTAGTGCAGATAGGGGAGGGGATCTGAATATGATTAAGATATCATATGAAATGCATAAAAATTCAGTAAAAATATATATTGTTGAGAGAGAGAGAGAGAGAGCACTAGGAATGTAGCTCAGTTGGTAGAGTGCTTGCCTTGCCTAGCATGCACAAAGCCCTGGGTTTGATCTCCAGCTCCACATAAACTGAGTATGGTGGCACAAGTTTGTAATCTTTGCACTTGGGACATAGAGGCATGAGGGTTAGGAGTTCATCTTTGGCTACAATCTTTATACTTAACTATCTACTATCTGAGACTTGCTTCAATTTTTTTTTTTTTTTTTTTTTTGGTCTTTTTGAAACAGTGTCTCCCTGTAGCCCCAGCTGGCCTTGAACTCATAGAGTTCTACCTGCCTCTGCCTCCCAAGTACTGGGACTATAGGTGTGCACCACCACGCCCAATCCTCAACTTATCTTTTTAATTTGAAAGACTTTTTAATCTCAGCAAGGCCTCTCAAGTCCATGAGACAAACAGTTTCTTAAATTACTGAGGATAAACTCCTACATTAGCAAAGTACACATTTATTCCTGAGAGTTTGCTTTATTTATAATGCCTTGTAAATCTCTCACTGGCTAAAAGATATTATATAAAGTCAGAAAATCTGCCTCCTTAGTCAAGTAGGCAGTGCATCAATATTATAATCTTAAAAAGTCAGGGAGATTACTATATTTTCTTAGTAATTTAGATTCCCTGTTCTGAAAATTGTACCCTTAACTTGCCTCTCTTCTATTTCTTAGGTTAATGACACAGATGTTACAAACATAACTCACACTGATGCCGTGAATCTGCTCCGAGCTGCACCCAAGACAGTCAGATTAGTTCTTGGACGGATTCTAGAATTACCCAAGATGCCAGTGTTGCCCCATTTGCTACCTGACATTACGTTAACGTGCAACAAAGAGGAGTTGGGTAATGAAAATTCAAGCTTTGTTCAGTATGGTTTTCTTGGCCTCATTAAAAGTTAAGTACTCCTGTAACTGAGAAAACTCTTGTTTTCTGCCCTTTGAAGGATTTTCCTTATCTGGAGGTTGTGGCAGTCTACATCAAGTTGTATATATTAGTGATATTAGCCCAAGGTCAGTTGCAGCTGTTGAAGGTAATCTCCAGCTATTAGATATCATCCATTATGTGAACGGAGTCAGCACGCAAGGAATGACCTTGGAAGAAGCTAACAGAACATTGGAACTGTCACTTCCCTCAGTGGTGCTGAAAGCAACAAGGTATTCAGCAATAATTTACAGCCTCCGTTATGTGTGTGCAGTTCAAGTAATTGGCTAAATGGTGTTCTCTCATAGGGCATTACTGAATTACTAATTCACAGACTGAACTGGAAAGACAGAAACTCTAGAACTGACTTGCTAATAGAGGTTAAGAACATCAGCTAGATATGTGCTTGAGGCATGATTTCAGTTAATGGGATAAATTAGTACAATCATCAGAACATCTTCTTTATGAGAGTCAGTGACGACATCAGTTTTGTCTCACACCTGCATACCAAACCATCTAGAGCAGTCTGCAAAGAGAAATCTTGCTAGTCGTCACTGATAAAGCAGCTAGTGTGTGTGTTAGCCCTACCTTAAGACTATTCCCTAACTGAGACAAAGGGATTAAAATATACTGGCTGCCTTTGGGCAGTCATGACTAATTCCTAGAACTAGGATGGGGTCAGCCCTCCTGGAACTCATGTCTGCTGATGAGGCACAGAATTGCAATATCCACAGTATTAAAAAAAAAAAAAAAAAAAAATGCTAACAGCAGCTTCTTTCACCAACAGTGACAATAAAATGAGAAAATGTGGATATCGATTTTCTATGGCTTCTCTAACAAATTAGTGATTTAAGATAACACAAGATTGGGGCTAGAGAGATGACTCAGCAGCTAAGAACACTGGCTGTTCTTACAGAAGACCTGGGTTCAAATTCCAGCCCCCACATGGCAGCTAACAACTGTCCATAACTCCAGTTCCAGGGGATCCAACAGTGTCTCCTGTCCTCCATGGGTACTGCATGACACGGGTGCACTTACTTACATGCAGGCAATACATGCATACACATAAAATAAAAATCATAAATAAAAATTTTTTTTAAAGAAAACACAAGATTATTTTAATGAAGTCCCATTTGTTGGTTCTTGACCTTGTTTCCTGAGCAATTGATGTCTGGTTTAGAAAATCCTTTCCTATACCTATATCTTGTAGGTTGTTACCAATGATTTCTTCTAATAGTTTCAGAGTTTCAGGTTTTACATTCAGGTCTTTGATCCACTTGCAGTTGACTTTTGTGCAAGGTGAAAGATAAGGGTCTAGTTTCATTCTCATACAGGTGGAGATCCAGTTTTCCCAGCACCATTTGCTGAAGATATTGTCTTTCCTTCAGTGAATGTTCTTGTCCCCTTTGTCAAATATCAGGTGGCTGAAATTGCATGTACTCATATTTGGGTCTTCAGTATTGTTCCATTGATCTATGGGTCTATTTTTGTGCCCATACCATATTGTTTTTATGACTGTAGCTCTGTAATATAGTTTGAAATCTGGTATAGTATTCCCCCCAGCATTGCTCTTTGTGCTCAGAGTTGCTTTGGCTATCCAGGCTCTTTTGTGCTTCCATATGAATTTTAGGTTTTTTTTCTAGTTCTGTGAAGAATATCATGGGAATTTTGATTGGCATTGCATTGAATCTATCAATAGCTTTTGGTAGGATGGTCATTTTCACAATATTAATTCTTCCAATCCATGACGATGGGAGGTCCTTCCATCTTCTGGTGTCTTCCTGATTTACAATTTTCATTGTAGAGGTCTTTAATGTCTTTGGTTCGAGAATTTTTTTCTTTTGAAGCTATTGTGAAAGGGAGTGTTTCTGTGTACTGTTTCTCTGATTGCTTGTTAGTGGTATGTGGAAAGGCTACTGATTTTTGCAGATGAATTTTGTAACCTGCCACTTTACTGAAATTTTTAATTATTTCTAGGAGTTTTCTGATGAAATTTTCGGCATCTCTTAGATATAATATCGTATCATCTGCAAAAAGAGATAATTTAACCTCTTCTTTTACAATTATTACTCCTTTAATTTCCTGCTCTTGTCTTATTGCTCTCGCAAGAGTTTCAAGCACTATATTAAAAAGGAGTGAAGATAGTGGACAGCCTTGTCTGGTTCCTGATTTCAATGGGAATGCTTCCAGTTTTTCTCCATTTAGAATGATGTTGGCTGTGGGTTTGTTATATATGGCTTTAATTATGTTGAGGTATGTTCCCTCCAGGTCAATTCCCTCTAGGACTTTGAACATAAATGCATGTTGAATTTTGCCAAAGGCCTCTGCATCTATCAAGATGACTGTGTGGTTCTTGTTTTTGAGTCCATTTGTATGATTTATGACGTTTATTGAACCATCCGTGCATCTCTGGAACAAAGCCTACTTGAGCATGATGGATGATCTTTTTGATGTGTGTATGCGGTTTGCAAGTATCTTGTTGAGAATTTTTTCATCTATGTTCATTAAGGATATGGGTCTATAGTTTTCTTTTTTGGTTGTATCTTTACCTGGTTTTGTTATTAAAGTGATGCTGGCTTCATAGAAGGAATTGGAAGTTCTCCCTTTGTTTCTATCTTTCTGAATGAATTAAGTAGTATTGGATATAGATCTTCCTTAAATGTCCAGTAGAATTCTGCTGTAAATTTGTCTGGGCTTGGACTTCTTTTAGTCAGGAGGTTTTGTTGTTGTTGTTGTTGTTTTTTGTTTTGTTTTGTTTTTACTATATTGGAAATTTATTTTGAAGTCATTCAAGTTTCTATAAGACTTGAAAGGCAGTATATTGCACACATATTCCAGGTCTAAACAGTCAATTATTATTATTATGTTTTGGGGGGGTAGTCTTTTTAAGACAGGGTCTCCCTGTAGCCCCAGCTGTCCTGGAACTCACTATATAGACCAGGCTGGCCTTGAACTCACAGAGATCTGCCTGCCTCTGCCTCCCAAGTGCTGGGATTAAAGGTGTGCACCACCACGCCTGGCTGCTACTATTATTATTATTATTATTATTATTATTATTATTAGGATTAAAGGTGTGCACCACCATGCCTGGCTGCTACTACTACTACTACTATTATTATTGTTGTTGTTGTTGTTGTTGTTGTGGAGTATGGCCCTGACACCCTGGTACATGGATAAGGGGATAATAAAGTTCCAGACCTGGCTTGAGGCCTGCAGCTTCCACCCTAGGCCTGTCATAACCACATTCTGAGACATGGGATTGTTGGAAGTCACTTGATGCTCTCAACCTACAAAGGGTTCTGAGCAGTTTGTCTGCCTTCCATAGGGTGCTGGCCAAAGGAAACAAGGTGTCCACTGTGTTTTGTGTGATGTTGGTTGTAATTATTGACTCAGTGGAATTTGGAAGAACCTAGGAGATACACCACTGAATGTGTCTGTGGAGGTGTTTCCAGAGAGGTTTATCTGAGGAGGGAAAACCTACCTGAATTTGGGTAGCATTGTTACATGGGCTAGGGTTCTGGACTGAATGAAAAAGGGAAAGCAAGCTGAGCACCAGCATTCATCTCTCTCTGCTCCTTGACTGTAGTCAGGAGGTTTTGTATTATTGTTTCAATTTCCTTATGTGTTATGGGTCTGTTTAAGCTTAGCAGTTTTGGAGGTAAGAAATATAAAATGGGTCTTACTGGAATAAAATCAAGATTCTACAGGGCTGAATCCTTCTGTAGTTTCCAAAAGGGAGCCCGTTTTCCTTGCCTCTTTAATCTAGAGAATACCACTTTCCTTGGCTTCTGGCTCCCTCCATCTTCAAAGATGCAACTATCATATCATATCCCTGCTTCTGTGGCCCAACCTCTTCCTCTAACTCTGACTTTCCTGCCCCTTCTTTCACTGGTTAGGGCGCCAATGAGCACAGTAGAGTCCTAATAATACAAGATAAGCTCCAGTGTCTTTTGCACTATAAAGTAACAAATTCACAGATTCTGTCAATTACAACATAATCATTAGAGCACAGACATCTTTGGAAAACCATACTATAGCATACATGATTTCGGGCTTTCTAGGGTATAAACTAATCCAAGTCATGTGACAAGACAGTTCACAGTTCTATCTATGAAGTGTCTTCAAAATACAGATATTTATTGATTAAACCATTGATAAACTTTCTTCTCCTTCTAAATGGCTAGGTTATGTACTTTTCCCTCTTGAATATCATCCCTGCCTGAGTTCTTTGTTTTTCTAAACTTAGGGTTGACACACAGTGGTTTTCATAGGTGAATGTGAATAAGTGGGAAAGGGAAAATATTTGTGTGGAAATTAACATGACTGCCAACTTTAAGTGTAGCTGAATACTCTTCACTCAGCCCTGAAGTCCCTCCTGTTGCCTTTCTACATTTGTCTTGGCTGCTGTCTCTAAAGATGTTGTAATCGTTTCCTCCTCGTTCTTCTTTCAGCTCTCCTTCAATTGCTTTGTTTTATAGACCTAACGTGTGTCTATCATCTTTAAAGTCCACAGGGTAGCAATAATAGAGGGATGGGTATTTGTACTGACCAGCTTTATGTCAAGACCTCTAAAGGATCTGGAATTTACCCTAATTATAAGCCAGTAACTCTAGTCTGCTATTATTTTATGGATTCCAGCAGAAGATGCAAGCCTCAATCAAAAATAAAACAGCTTTATAATTAATGGCACACAGCATCATGAGCTTAGTGTGGATTGTGTGTATCCCCCAAGGCCCTGGAGAAAATGCATGTGGGTCTAGTGGATTCCCACAGTAGTGGATTATATCACAGAAGAGGATTATATTGTTAAGAGTGGCCCCTCATTTCATAGCAGCCTATTGGGAGATCCTGGTTTGGTTTGTTGAGGAATGGTGCCTCATTTCTCAAGACTGTTAAAAGAAGATTTAAATCAAGATTTCTCAAAGGAATTAGGTTACACAGTCATCACAACGACCATGTTCCTAAGAGGGAGGGGCATAGTGTGTTAAACACAACCTTGAGAGGTATTAAAGAAGCAAGCATTTTCAGACAACCCAGCAAGAACACACAGGTGTTCTTAGGGCCATGGTACATTGCCTCTGCCAGCCCGGTATATCTTGGGTAGCCTCCCCTCAATGCCAATAATAAGATGGCATATTGGCTCCTATCCCTAGTACATTCTCTTTTTGAATGCTCTTGACTTTGGGTGATACTATTTGTTGTGTAATTCTTGGAATAAAGACATTTCCTCTACATTTTCACTTTAATCTAAAGAAAAACACATATCAAGTGGGCTTTATATATAAAAAGTTTGAAAACTGACTTCTAAATTAATTTCTCTTGAACTATGTACTGAATGACAATGAATTAGGTTACACAGTCATCACAATGACCATGTCTCTAAGTGGGAGGGGCATAGTGTGCTGAACTGAAACCCAAAAAAAGATTATATACAGAAATTATTTTCAAAATGGAGACATAATTTATTGAGGCCTTGGCTTCAATGACCAGCTCTGCCAATGATGATGATGATGATGATGCTTGCTAAGCATGATAGTGCATGCCTATAATCCCAACATGCAGAAAGCAGAAGGAGGTGATTCTGTAGTTCCACGCCAGTCTTGCTACATAACAAGACTGAGGTCAATCTGGACTACATAGTGAGAAAGAGAAGGGGAAAGAGAAAAGAGAAAGGCCATTCTTCATCATCTTTTAATCTTCGTGAGTGGGGGTGTATGGAGGAAGTTTTGTGTACATGTGTCTCACAGAGGTGGAGGTCCCCACCTCCCTCCTTGTTTGAGAGAGAGTTTCTTGTTCACCAATGCATAGACCAGGATGGCCTGGGAGCTTCCAGGAATTGTTCTGTCTCCACTTCCCACCTTGAGGTAGGAGCCCTGGGATTACAGACAGAATGGTACTACGTCCAGGTTTACTTGGGTTCTGGAAATATGAACTCAAGCCCTTCACACTTTCACAGCACAGTAATTGCTTTACGTATGATTCTTCTCCCCAGCATACCCTTCATCTTTTATTTTTAAGTCACATTTCCTTATCACTAGAAAATACATCAATATGGACTAGAGAGATGGCTCAGCATTTAAGAGCACTGGCTACTCTTACAGAGGACCTAGGTTTGGTTCCCAGCACCCACATGGCAGCTAACAACAGTCCATAACACTAGTTCCAGAGGATCTGATGCCCTCTTCTGACCTCCACAGGCACTACACAACATGGATGCACTTACATATATGTAGGCAATATAGTCATACACATAAGTTAAAATAAAAAATAAATGGCTTTTTTTAAGAAAACACATAAATGAAGACTCATAAAAGTCTGTCTACAGATTCATGGGGTATCTAGAAAAGTAAAATTTCTGAAACTAGCTAACAGATGGTCCAAGGATATTGAAATTATTTCATATCTTTTTAATTGTACTTCTTTTCTCTTGTACAGAGATGGTTATCCAGTGGTCCCCAGTTCAAAGAGATCTGCCACTTCAATACCAACATCAGCCAAAGTCAACGGTGTGACACATTTACATTATATCCCTGTACTTAATGGGGAGATAATGTTTTTCCTGGACAGCAAGTTGGATGTTGTCCCTGAACTTGTCTTTCCAGAAGGTTTTACAGCATCAAAGTGAAAATATTATATTTAAGTGAAAACATCCCTGAAAATCAATATATGTTAGAAAAATAGCAGAATACAGTAGAGCATGAAATTGATAGCCCATGCAGGCCTGGGTGTCCAAGTCTGTGAGTCCTTAGCAAGCTCTCTGATGCCTCTGTTTCCTACCAGTAAAGTAATAGTACCAAAATAGACCTAATGAGGTGCTAATGAGGCATGTATACAGTAATGTGTGTAAAACACTGGCTGCCATAGCTTTCTAAATCTCTTGAAAATATAATTTGTCCAAATTATGTTTAGTATGTAACCTTAACTGTAAGGGGAACAGAATCTGCTCAATTTTAGTACGTATATTAAGTTTTTCTACTAATGGCAAAGTTCTAAAATCAATATTTGGTTCAGAGTTATATTTAAAGTGCTTTTCAGTTGAACACACAGCAGTTTCCTCTGCTAAAGTGCTTTGTGAAAATGAGATGAGTACCTGCCATCTTCTTGCAGGGATGGAGTGGATGCGGTTCCACTGTGTGTTCCACTGTGATGTCTTGCCCTTTCGTTCAGTGTCTCATACTTGACTCACTCAGCCCCAAAGAGCTTGCTTTGTTTTGTTTTGTTTGTTTTGTTTTGTTTTGTTTTGTTTGTGGAGGTTGATGTTGGGTCTCTCCACATAGTCCAATCTAGCCTCAAATTCCTGGTAATCCTTCTGCCTCAGCCTCCCAAGTGCTGGGATTACAGTCATGAGCCAATATATGCAGCTTTTATGTAAACGATTTCCTTTAAGAATTTTGCGGGTTTTTTTTTTTTCTTTTTTCCTACTGAGCATGGTGGTAATGCCTGTAATCCCAGCACCTGGGAGGTAGAGGCAGGAGGATGAGGAACTCAGGATCATCCTCTCTACATACCAGGACCAGCCTGGACCAAGTGAGACCCTGTCTCAAAATATAAAAAATAGCTAGGCATGGTGGCGCATGCCTTTAACCTTAGCACTCAGGAGGCAAAGGCAGGTGGATCTCTATGAGATCAAGGCCAGCCTGGTCTACATAGTGAGTTCTAGGCTAGCTGGTACTACAAGGAGACCCTGTCTCATAAAACCAAAAAGAAAAAGAAAAGGAATTTGGCTTTTTCCTTGAGATAAACCGTCTCTAGTATTTTATTTACTTGATTTGCACCTTTTGTGTTTTGACCTCTTCATAAACAGTTAAAAATGATATTCTCAGAAATATGAGGTTTCTTTATTTGAATCAAAAGTTTTAAACTTTTTACAGTTACTTGTCAGCTTTGTGTGGGATGGGGATGATGTGGTATGTGTGTGTAGGCACACTCATGCCACAGAACACATATAAAGATCAAAGGAGAACTTGGGGGAGTCGGTTCTCATCAGCTCAAGTCATCTGGCTTGGCAGATTGATCTGTCTCACTGGCCCCGTATCAGAATTTTTAATTGTGTTATGTCTTCAGCATCATGTATCTTAGTGATTTTCGTGTCCCTCTTGTCATTTCAACTGTCTTACATCCCACCCTGTGCTGTTCCTTTCAGGCCATCCCAGTGAGGAACCCTGTGTCCAGCCTGCCCTCACACCCAAGAATTCATTCTCCAAGGCAAGGAAAAATGCACCTCTTGTGTCATATAGTTAAATAACCAGTGTGCTTGTATTAAAGCGAAACAGATTTAATAGTTAAATATTTGTCTTCTTAAATACATGTACATAGTAAGACTCTGTCTACTGTGATAAGCTAATAGGCTTTGCTAAGTAGGTCCCCAATGCATAGCCTTCACACAAATAAGCCTGCACCCTTTGACACATTTGACTCTTATGTGGCTAGTGATATAACTAGGTAATGCTAGAAACAGGAGTTTTTGGCTAGCATGCACAGTTGTCTTTCACTTGACCATGGAAAGAGAAGAATCTAATTAACAATAGAATTACCCCTTAGTGTTGAGCAGGAGTAACTTGAGAAAGTTAAATCTGATACTGGTAAGGAGCAATAGTAGTGGCCAAAGAAATAGGTTTACTTGGTTTTGGAAGACATGATAAAATGAGAGTTTAAGTCATTTAGGATTAGCACAGAGAAACCTGGGAATAATTTTAATGAAACTTTTTTTTTTTTTCCCTTTTGAGACAGGGTCTCTCTGTAGCCCCAGCTGGCCTGGAACTCACTGTGTAGACCAGGTTGGCCTCAATCTCAGAGATCTGCCTGCCTCTGCTTCCTGAGTGCTGAGATTAAAGGCGTGCACCACCACAACCGGCTCTTTAACCTAAGAAGTTTAACAGGTACTGTGTATGCACCTGTCAAACCAGCTATTGGGGAAGCTGAGGCAGGAGGGCCAATTAAGTCCAGGGCCAATTAAGACCAGACTAAGAAACTGAGCAAGATACTGTAGAAGGAATGAGAAATGATTGAGGGGACAGATGAGTCTAATCTGATTTAAATACTATACAATGAAACACATCAAAACATCACATGGCAACCCATTATTATGTGCAGTTTGGGAGTTTAATATATTTTTTAAACAGAAAATGTGGGGCTAGAGAGATGACTCAACACTTAAGAGCTGGCTTCTCTTGCAGAAGACCTGCATTCAGTTACCAGCACCCTCATGGTGGCTAACACTCATTCTGGGTTTTTTTGTTTGTTTTGTTTTGTTTCTTGTTGTTTTTTGAGACAGGTTCTCACTATGAAGCTCTGGCTGGCCTGGAACTCACTATTTAGACCAGGCTAGCCTCAATCTCACAAAGATCCACTTCTGCCTAAATGCTGGGATTAGTTGCATGTGCTGCCACATCTGGCTAACAAAACTGTTTTAATGTATCGTAAATTCTACCTCCTGCTCGCTTTTTTGTTTGTTTTTGTTTTGGGGGGAGTTGTTTTGTATTTGTTTTTGTATTGGACAGAGTCTCCCTGTGTCTGCAGCTGGCCTGGAACTCACTATGTAGACCAGGCTGGCCTGATCTCAGAGATCCTCCTGCCTCTGACTCCCAAATGCTGAGGTTAAAGGTGTGTACCACCATGCCCAGCCATACTCTGTCTTTAAGTGCACTTATATATACTCTTACAGTTTGTTCTGATCCTCACTACTGTCTGCTCATGTAATATAGTGCATAAAATCTCCCATGTATAATGCTTTGCTTTTCTAGTAATCTGAAAAAAAAAAAATCTTATCATCTCAACATGATCCTAGACATGAGCTGGGATTTGTGTAGAAGAAAATTCATTTAGTGACCAGACCCCCCCCCATTCTGTGCCTCTTGTCCTCTCATGTCATCACACATACTTTTTTATTTTATTTTTATTTTTTGGAGGGAGGGGAGGGGTGGGTACTGGGTCTCCCTGTAGCCCCAGCTGGCCTGTATTTAGACCATGCTGGTCTTGATCTCCTAGAGATCCCCCTGCCTCTGCTTCTGAGTGCTGGGATTAAAGGCATGTGTCATCACATCTGGCCACATGTTTGATTTAGTTTAGCCAGTCCTGAAAATACACTGCAGCAGAAGCAATGTTAAAGCAGAAAAGACTAACACAAAAATAGCATTGTTTTAATGTGTGTATGTTTGCACAGAGCTACAGCAGAGCTCATGCTCCTGTCAGTTCTGAGCTTTGATTTCACAAAGCTGAAGCAACTGAATTTTCATGTATTTCTAATGTCATTCATGTGTGTGGTGTTTATTTTCTTTTTAAATATCAGTGTGTTATTGAATGAAAGAAGTGTAGAGTTTCTGTTAACACCAAATTCTAAAAATTAGGACTTTTATTGTTGGTGGCTGCCAGCATTTCTGTAGTAGTTAAAAATCTTCCAGGAAGTCTCCCTCACATTGTTCCATCCTGAATGCTTATACTGCAAATCACAAAAAATAGAATTTCAAGCCAGGTGTGGTAGTACACACCTTTAGTCACAGCACTTGAGAAGCAGAGGCAGGCAAATCTCTAAGTTCAAGGTCAGCCTGGTCTACATAGCGAGTTCCAGGCCAGTTGGAGCTACAGGGAGACTCTGTCTCAAAAAGACCAAAAAAAAAAAGGAAAGAAAAATAGAATTTCAGAGCCCAGTGATGATTGTTGGCATTATGTCACCAACTTATATAAAAAGAGTTAGGCCTTCAGAGCAAACCATAACACAGTTACTGCAATTTAGTCTAATCATTTAATTTTGCAATTTTCCCAAATTTTTTTTTCTTTTTTAATTGTGCTGGGGATTGAACCCAGCTAGGCAAGTGCTCTGCCACTGAACTGTGTCAGTCACAGTTTTTTTCTATAGACTATATTCTGCGAAGTGCTTCAGTCTATCACTGCATTAGAACACCACATCCTGGTCAATAAATACATAATAACTATAGCCATTGACCCATTGTTATTTTTCTTAAATTGATAAGAAATTAAACTATGTTGGAAAATCTTTATACCTAACAAATGATCAGGTCACTAAATTGGAGTGTGCATCTATCTGACAATTTTCAAAGTAATTTAAAAAGTTGATTGGCTTGGGGTGGTAATGCTCACATCTAGTTCTGTCACTGGGGAGGCTGAAGCAGAAGGATCATGGGTGTGATGCTACCTGAGCTACATAGCAAAACCCTATCTCAAAAAATTTTTAGCTAATTTTTTTTCTATCAACTGCTAAGTTTTTTTAGTCCTATTAAAATTTTCTAAAATGTTTTTTGGAAGACAAATATCATAAAATATACCTCAAGTAAGAGTTTTGTGTAGTCCAATAAATTTAAGGACTAGCACGTGGTTCCGTATGTGTTGGATAATGGGATTCTCCATTTCTTTTGCACCTTTCACTCCACAGGTATTTCCTAGGAACATAGATTCTAGATGGAAAGATACAAAATGAATTTTATACTAAGCAAAAAGAGGAGAGGGTTCATGTGCAGTGCTTCCCCAATCCTGGACATTAGCAAGATAGTAATTAAGTGATTTTCTGTGGTCTTGTACTTTAGGTTAATGGGGAAGAAGTAATCGAAGCTGTGTACACTGGAGAAAAATGCTCTGCGTCTCAGATGAAGGGATCCACAGACTTGACTGAAACCAAAGGTAGTTTTTCAAATAAGTCATCCTGTCATTCTGAATGATCTAAAAGTTCATGTAACAAAGAAATATCACTTATCTTCTGCCGTATTTCTCACATAATACAGCTCTACAAAGAAAGATTATTGTTCAAAGAAATGAAAGAATAAGAAAATATAAACTAATACTGTTAACTGCATAGCATGCGAATGTCTAGCATGTGTTGTTGTCTCTGAGGCTAAATGGCTTTTAAGAGACTGAAGAGGCAGCCGCTGGTGTTTCTTGTGTGCTGCGAAGCAGTGCTTCCCTAGACCACCAGACACTTCAGAAAGTGTATCTTGAGGATACACTTTATCTGACCTGCTATGCCCTTAATCTGCAGAATACAACTTCTTTGTGTTTCTTTAATGAACAAATACTTTGAGATTAATTTTATAAAATAAACATCAGATTGTTAATGTCATATGAAAATGTATAGCTCCAGCTTGTTCTCATTTAGTGTCTTTAGCTGCATCTATGTGGCCCTTTGTCCCAGCAGCCAGTGTACTAAAACTAAAAGCACTGCTCAGTATCTCTCACATCACTATTTTTAAAGTAAATTATTGTTTTTCAAGAGTCTGATCCACATGATGATGACATCTATGATGATCCTCAAGAAGCTGAAGTGATCCAGTCCCTGCTAGATGTTGTGGATGAGGAAGCCCAGAACCTTATAAATCAGAGTAATACCACAGGTGGGACCTGTTTTACGGTTTGGTGAACCAGATGAATAAATGAATATATACCCAGTAGTTCAAGCATGTGTATAGGGAAAAAGTTTGGGGTAAAAATGAAATATATCAGTAATGTCCTCATTCCTCAATTTTTGGGCAATATTTTCAGAAATAAAATTGATTCTATTATCTCCTTTTTTTTTCTTTTCCATATTTGTGGGTAGGTTACCTTATTATTGAGTTTTAAAATGTGTCATCAGAGGCAGGTATGTAACTGTTGATAGAGTACTTACCTAGCATGCATGAAGACCTAGGGTCAACATCAGCACCACATAAGCTAGGTGTGGTGGTACATACCTGTAATACAACGCTTGGGAGATAGAGGCATGAGGATCAGAAGATCAAGGCTGTCCTCAGCTGCACAGAAAGTTCAAGGCCAGCCTAGGCTACATGAGACTTTGTCTCAAAAACAAACAAAACAAAAATAGGAAATCGTTAATGTCATAACTTTTATTTCTAAATGTGTTAGTTTAAATATCTTCCGCTCTGGTTGGTACCAAGCCTCTGTTAAGGCATCACCATTTCAATAGATAAGTAACTAGATATTTTATATTATGTATCATATCAATTATTCCTCATTTTCACAATTAAAACACTGAAACTGATGATGGATAGTGGTTCATTCACTGCCTTTCATATAAATGAAAACTTTGTCACTGCATCAATAGTTTTCTTAGTTCCTCTTGGCCTATTTTCCTCTCCTAGGTACAGTAAAGACAGATGAGAAAGTGGCAGAAGAGAGAGCAGAGGATACAGACTGTGATGGTTCACCTTTACCTGAGGACTGCTCTGAGGTATGGGCTATACCCATACGAACAGCCTAGGGTACTGTGCTTCATCAGAATTATGGTTTAACCTTTACCTGAGGACTGCTCTAAAGTACGGGTTATACCTACATGAGCAGCCTAGGGTACTGTGTGTTTTAGTAACTTTTCTGTTGCTGTAATAGAAACACCATGACCAAGGGGACTCATAAAAGGATGAGTTTATTTACCTTACAGTTCCAAAGGGGCAAGAGTCCATCTTGGTGGGGGAGGCATGGCAGCAGAGGTGGCTAGAGAAGGAGCAGAAGCTAAGCTCTCACATCTTCAAGCAGGCACAGGAAACAGAAAGCAACTGGAGATCTGGCAAGGCTTAAGAACGCTCTAAGCCTGCCCCCAGTGACACGCTTCCTCCAGCATGGCCACACCTGAGACTCCGAAAACAGCACCAACAAAATATTCGAATACTTGGAGCCTATGAGGGACATTCTCATTCAAACCACTACACTGCGCTTCATTAGAATTCTGTTTTAAACCAGAAGGCAAAACAAAATGGCAGTGTTACTTGTTTTACTGCCAAATTACATGTAGAGAAAAATGGGGGGGGGGCAGTGCTAATTAAAGTGTCATCTTTACCAGCAAAATTTTGAATCATTACTCAATTGAAAGGAGGAGGGAGGAAGGGAAGGAGGGAAAGGGGGAAGGAGGAAAATCAAAATACACTGATTTAGGCTCTTAGAGTAGTCAGCTACCCATGTGTATACTTACACACCATCTCATACATGATTATGTTCATTACTTACAAATAACTAATATGTATGAATTCAAGGAAGCTTGTGTCTGCTTTTCTTTCTTTCTTTTCTTTCTTTCTTTCTTTCTTTTTCTCTTTCTTTTTCTGGCCTTTTTGAGACAGGATCTTCCTATAGCCTCAACTGACCTGGAACTCACTACGTAGTTCAGGCTGGCCTTGAACACAGATATCTGCCTGCCTCTGCCTCCCAAGAGTTGGGATTAAAGGCATGCACCACCATGCCCAGCCTCTCTTTCTTAGTGTGTAAAAATTATACAAACATTGACTATCTCAAAATACAATATTCTCTATAGAGATATTACTTAAGATATTCTTTTATAATATAAGATTATTAATAATTATACCAACAGGCCGTTTGAGAGGTTTTATGAATATTATAATTCATAAAAACTTAATTATATTTTACTACCAATATTTAAAAACTGCCCCTTATTCAGGATGTTCTAAGGTCTCCTTTAACAAAAAAATAAATAAAAATACTTGCCATTTCAAAAGTGTCATAAAATTTTTCTCTTAAAAAGAAGAAAATTCAGACTAGAGAGATGGCTCAGTGGTTAAGAGCACTGGCTGCTTTTGCAGAAGACCCAGGATCAGATCCCAGCACCTACATGGCAGCTAACCACTGTCCGTAACTCCAGTTCCAGGGGGGTCCAACACCCTCTTCTGACCTCCAAGGGCATTGCATGACACAGGTACACTTACACACATGCAGACATAACACTCATACACATAAAATAAATTAAAAATTTTTAAAAGAAAAATCTTCTTAATGTAGATTATCCATTATACTAACCTATGAAAACATTTAGTCAAAAAACATTTTTTACTATTTTGATTTTTAAGACATATTTTCATTCAAACCTAATTATTTATTAATTTAAAATTCCCTCTTTACTTCATATTCATCTGAGATAGTTATTGCTAAAACTTGAACTTCTACCCTTCAATTATGTATATGAAAACATAGATATGTGCATATTTAATTCTTAACTTTCATAATATTATATTATGCTTCCAGTGAATGTGCAATACCCTTGTGGAATAAAAATTTGTTAATCATGAATATTCTTAGAGGTAGGTACTGGGGACTGAGGATTACATATTTGATGCATGTGTTGCAGAGACACTCTGGTGCAGGTGTCAAATGGAGCTCTCTTAAATATACACTGTTCCATGAGCAGTGGTTTGGGAAAACCTCTAAAAGGTTTCACTACAGGGTTGCAGAGATAGCTCAGTTGCTAAAGTGCTTGCCACACAAGTGTGAAGACTTGAGTTCAATCCTTAGAACCCATGTTAAAAAAACTGAGTGTAGCAGCAAGCACTTGTAATCCCAGTGCTGGGGAGGCAAAGATGGTCAGATCCCTAGAGCTCCCTAGGCAGACAGCTGAGCCTAGTCAATGAGCTCCAGGCCAATGAGAGACCCTATCTCAAAAAACAAGGTAGACAGCACCTGAAAAACAACACCTGAGGTTGACTTCTGGTCTCCACACACACGTACTAGAATGCATGTACTTGTGGACACACACGTGTACACATACACACAAATTTTTTTTCTCTCCTAGAAAGAACTGACTTTCTAGGATCCTAAAGAATGTGTACTTGAAGACTCTCCGGTCAGCAGGAGATGAGCATTCTGCAGATAGAATTGTCTGAAACTGGTAGCTGCCTGGGATATCTTCCCAGGGTTCAGTCCTGTCTCCAGCAGAGCTGCTGAGCCACCTATCTCATAACAGCAGTGCTGGAGGAACCAGATGTGACTCACTGGAGAGCTGGGAAAACCCTCTGTCTGTGAGTTGGAGGCTCCAAGGAGGCAGAGCTGATGGCTGTGTATGCAGCAGGGGTCCATATGCCATTTCTTAATATACATCTTATCACATTATTAGAAATTTCATTTTCTTTTAACAATTGGTCATGCCTCTTTCCATGTGAGTACATACAAATTTACCTCATCCTTTCTAATGTGTCATTCTATTGTATAGATATATCATAATTGATTAAATTGGTCATCTACTTGTGCATTTTACTTTTCTGTTTTGCTATTAAACAACAGTGAATATTCCCATGACTTTGTACTATAAACTCATGGTTCCCACAAGACAGAATTAATTTTTACAGCATTCAAGTGGCTCATACTGTCTGACCACACCACAGACTCCCTCATTTCCTTGTGTCATCAAGCATTTCACTCAAACAGGCACATCAATTGCAGCCTGAGTTTCCTCAGGCTGCCATAACAGTGCCATACACTGAGTGGCTTAAACAGCAGTATTATTTTCTTACAGTTCTAGAAGCTGGAAATTCAAGACCAATGTGTCAACAAGATTGGTTTCTGGCTCAATCTCTTGTTGGCTTGCAAGTGAAGGACTGTTTGCTGTGTCTTTATGTGGCCTTCCTTTGTATGGGCATTCTCCTGGTATCTGTTCATCTTCTTACAAAATACCAGTTTTATTGGTTTAGAGGCACACTCTTATGATCTCATTTAACTTAAATTATCACTTTTAAGACTTTATTTCTAAATACAGCGGCAATGGACATTAGGGCAATAAATTTTAGGAGGACATATTTCAGTGTGGGGGTATGTGCAATCTTTGTTTAACTAGTTATAAAATACTAAAGTTTTTATTCACAAAATTATACAAGTTCTAGCCATAAGTTCACTTAAAAATTTAACTCAGTATGTAGCTTTTTAGCTATACACATGGACTGTTTAAAAATTATATTGCTCTCTCCGACCTGCAGGCCTCTCTCCAGGGTAAGTCGATTGCACCCTCCATGCCTTGACTCCCCCAGCCTCATTCACCCTCCCATCTCTCCCACCCTTCTCCCCTCCTAGCCTGGGTCCTGTCCCATTCCTTGTCTTGGCGCCCTAGACACCTGGGGATATACCTCTGCTTCCTGATCCTTTGCATCCAGACCAACCCAGCTCCTCAGTGTAGTCCCCAGTGGGCCTTGGGGCCTCTTTCCATCCCCATCTACCTTTGCATCTCTGGGTGGCACAGCCACCAGCTACCCTACACCAGCATCTTTCCTGGAACCTGCTCCCAGGCCAGTCCAACCCCCAAATTCCTGAGGACAATATCTTTCCCGGAGGGATCCAAACCTTAGAAGAAAGCCTGAGAGCATCTGATCCTCATCTGACTTGGGCCTCTGTGGGAACTCCTGAAGACAAAAGCAATCTGGTACTCCAATATAAAATCAAGAGAGAACCGAAAGCTTAGAGGAACCAGCTTTTCATGCTCAAAAAGTAAACCACAAAGACACGTAAAGTTTGCAAGAAGAAGCAGACCTAAACTTGAAGGTTTGAGTCTCACACAAGAATCAGAAACTACAAAAGAAATTCACATGTCAAAATCACAGAG